GATACGGTTGCTTCGTTGTCATCCCAGCCCTAGCCTTTCAGCTGTTTTTTCCCATGCCATTGAGGCCTCCGGCCGTCCATCAGCCACGCCGCCAGCCCCAAGATCCACGTGGTGAGTGGCGTGTCGAAATGAGCAGTCTCCGAAGGTGTCCAGGAGGGCTCCAGGATGGCCCCCGGCCACCAAACGGCCAGCCCCGCGATCCATGCGAGGGGCGCGCCGAAATGTGCGGCCTCCGAATGTTTCCAAGGGGGGTTCCAGGGTCACCAGCCATCTTGGGGCTTCTTGGGGGCTTCTTCTTCTTGGGGGGGGGCATCATCTCGGGGGCGTCTTGGGGGCCTTGGAGCTGTCTTGGAGGCCTCGGAAGCCCTCTTGGAGCCCTCTTGGAGAAGATCGATCAAAGAAGAAGTGGGTGGTCTTTTTTGATGATCAGCCCCCCCCCCTCCTGGACCCCTCTTGTAGCGCTCTTGGAGCGCCCCTGGTGCCGTCTTGGGGCTCTTCTCTTAGGCCCCCCCCCCGGGGCCCTCTTGGGCCATCTTGGGGCCATCTTGGGGCCTTGGAAAATCATCGAAAACGAACATAATTCATGTTCCGTTTGATTTGTCCTTACTACCTAGGCTCTGCCTCGAGGATTCTTATCCTATTAGCTTGAAAGGGCCGGGCAATGTTCCTCGCCCAGGCGGTTCCCCCGGCCCCCGCCCCGTAGTTCGTTCCCCCAGTTGCGCCCCTTTTACCTTAGCTTTGCGTATTTCATTTTAGCTCAGCTTCGCTTAGCTTAGCTTAGCTTAGCTTCATCGTAGATTCGTTTAGCTGAGCTTAGCATAACATAGCCTAGCATAGCCCAGCATATCATATCATAGCGTACCATATCATATCATGTCATAGCGCAGCATGGCACAGTATTGCATAGCGCAGCATCGCATAGCATACCTTAGCCTAGCATAACATAGCGCAGCCTAGCATAGCATCGCATAGCGCAGCATTGCGCAGCAGAGCACAGACTTTCATAGCAAAGCATAGTGGAGCATAGCATATCATAGCAGCAATGCAAAGGCAAGGCAACAGCAGCAACAGCAAAGCAAAGCACAAGCAACGCAAAGAAGCGCAAAGCAAAGCAAAGCAAAAACGAACGCAAACCAAAGGAGCGGCCAAGCACCCGCAATGTGCAACAGTACGATCAGAGAGCCCACCCGGCGGGCGAATGCAAAACAAATGCGCGCGTGCGCGAAGGCAAAGCAAACGCAAAACCAAGCAAAAGCAAACGCAAGCTGAAGCAAAGGCATCTTCGGCGACGAGGAGAATTGACTTTGATATATCGGGGGGCTCCTTGGGCATCTCGGAGGCCTCTCGGAGCCTTCTCGGAACGTTCTCGGGGCCACTTGGAACCGTCTTGGGCCAATTAGACGCTCCAACTACTACCCGCGAGCCCCCCTGTCCATGTCCAGGGCAGGGGGTGGGGGGAGGAGGGGGGGCAAACCCTTCCCCGAAGGGGAAGAAGGGGGCCGCTGGAACAGGAAACTCTGTCCCGACCACCTGCGCCCAGAGGGCTGGTGGGATTCCATGATGTCATCCCTCCAGGTGTTTGCGTTGCGCTCTCAGGGCTCGGTTTTTGCGTTGCGCCCTCAGGTTTCTTCTTCTTCTTAGTCGCCCCCCCAACAATCATTTCTACGTGAGAGGTTGAACCCCGGCCGCCAATTCGCCGCGCCCCGCCCGCCGGAGGACGACGACGAGGGGGGGGGGGGGGGGGGGCGATGATGGCGGGGAAGAAAAGGAGAAGATGAAGGCGGAGGAGGTGGAGGGAGTGGAGGAGGAAGAAGATGATGATTGATGATGGGGGCCGGCCTTTAGCTCGCAGCAAGTGGGCGCTCAATCCCGCGACGGCGCAGGGGCGGGCAGGTGTTTCACGCGAGTCTGCCATGCCTTGGAAGCCGACGTCGAATAATGATAAGCCATCGCCATAGGGTTCGACGCCCTGGGCGTGGTTGATGAGAGACAACAACAGAAACACATGCCCGCCCCTGCGCCGTTCTGGGCATGACCGATAATGATCAGCAGGGCGGCGTTCGAGCAGCCAACGACCGACGGGAAGGGGCCCGCCGCTGCTGCTTGCTGCTGCTGATCACTCCTCCCCCCTCCCCCCTCCCCCCAGCAGCATCGGCCGTCGTCGTCGTCATCATCTTCCTCCTCCTCCTCCTCCCTCCTCCTCCTCCTCCCCCTCCTCCTCCTCCTCCTCCTCCTCCTCCTCCTCCTCCCCCGCCTTGTCCCTTGTTGATCAGCGCTGTTCTTCCCCTCTGCTGCGCTCGGGGGCGCCCCTGAGCGCAGAGCAAGGGGGTCCTCGGGGGCGCACCTGGGCGGTGGCGCAGAGGAGCGAGGGGGGCCCCCGGGCACGCCCCTGAGTGAGAGGGGCGGGGGGGGGGCAGGGTTTCGGAGTGCAGGGCGGGGTGGGGCGGCCGCCCCGGCGCTCTCTGCACTCTGGAAATTGTGCGCCCCCGGCCCTCTCTGCACCCAGGGGTGCCCCTGAGTGCAGAGCGGGGTGGGGCGGCCGCCCGGCGCTCTCTGCGCTCGATTCGCCCCCGAGCGCAGCGGCAGAGCGGGGCGGGTCGGGTCTGCTGCTGTGGATCCGCTGCTGCGCGCCCGCAGATTGCGCGAGTTCGAGCGCCCCCCCCCCCCCCCACCGCCGCCGCGCCACCGCCAAGACCGCTCCAAGTTTCTTCTGATACTCAACGCTGCTGCTGATCGGTATCATCATTCATGGCGCCCGCCGTCAGCAAGAAGGCCCAACCTCCGAAACGGCCCGCTTCACTCAGCGGCGGTGATGCGCCCAAGAAGGCCGCCAACAAGGGGAAGGGGAGCAGCAAGGGGGGGCATCAAACCAGCCGACGACGCTGCTGCTGGTGGGCTGAGCACGCCGCCGACGGCAATGGGATCATCGCCAGGATGCCCCTTCCACGGCTTCTCCCCCCGACGCCGCGATGATGGCGGTGGATGCAGAGGCCTCCGACGCGCAACTAACAACCCCCACTATCTTCTTGTGATTTTCGGCCAGCCCATCCCGCAACCGTGCCTGGGTTGTGGGTCAGAGGCCTTTTGGTTGACGTTCGTCGGGATCTCGTGGGATGCCGCTGCGGGGCCTCTCGGCGGTTTCTCAGTTTCGAGGCCCCTTTGGGGGGCATGGGGGCGTGGTCTGAGGCCTCGTGGGGGCGTCTTCTGTCTTGTGGGCTTCCTCTTGGGGGCCTTTTTCTCGGGGCTTCTTGCGGCTTCTTCTTGGGTGCCTCCTCTCGCTGCGCATGGCGCGACTGCAAGTTGGAACAACGTGGGATATGGTGTTTTCTGCGGCACGGCTGCAAGATGGAACAACCTAGAGTTAACATGGACCTGGATGCATAGGGGTTGTCTTGGGCCGTCTTGGGCGCCCCGTGGGCCGTATTGGGGCCCTCTTGGTCGTCTTGTTTTGGCTTCCTCGTCCTCCTCGCCCTCGCCCTCGTCGCCCTCCCCCTCCTCCTCCGACGCCTCCCAGCCGGGGGCCAACCATCAGCATGCCGCCACAGCGCCGCAGAGCACCCTCGACCCGGCGACGTTCGGCATGAACAAGACTCACTACAACGAGCTGTTGCGCGCCTACAACAGGATCATTGCGCATCCCATCTTCGAAGACATCTTGACCCTGGACCCGCTCACGATTGCCAGCGGCGGTCACGAGGGCGCCGCCCTGGGCCTGCCTGGGCACCTACTACAACACACAGCGGTTTGTATTCCCTACCTAGGCTCTGCCTAGAAGTGTTCTTATTCTGAGGCTTCAAGGGTGGGGCAGTGGGGCGCGCCCAGAGCGGTTCCCCCGGCATCGTCTGCCCCGCGGCACCCCCAGTGACGTTCCCTTAGCTTCGCGTTGCTTATTTCAGTTTAGCTTAGCGTATTTCATTTTACCTTAGCTTACCTTCATCCTACCCCAGGTTTATCTTAGCTTAGCTTACCTTCATCTTAGCTTCGCTGAGATTCAGCATAGCAGATCACATCATAGCATAGCAGATCGTAGCATAGCATAGTGCAGCATAGCATATCACAGCGTATCCCAGCATAGCATAGCATAGCACAGCATCGCATCGCATATCACAGCATAGCATAGCGCAGCACGGCACAGCACAGCACATCACCGCGCAGCATAGCATAGCATAGCAGAGCAGAGCATATCATAGCACATCACCAACGCAAAGGCAACGCAACAGCAGCGACAGCAACGCAAACCACAAGCAACGCAAAGCAGTGCAAAGCTAAAACAAAAGCAACGCAAGGGTGTAATTCCCTACCTGGCTCTGCCTAGAGGGTTCGCTTAGCTCAGCTTAGCTTCGCATAGCGCAGCTCTGCGGTAGCATCGCATAGCATAGCATAGTCTAACATAGACAAGCATAGCATAGCATGGTACAGCATCGCATATCATACCATAACATGTCATAGCATAGCATAATATAACACAGCGCAGCTTAGCATATCATAACATAGCATAGCATAGCATATCACAGCGCAGCATGTCATACCATACCTTAGCATATCATAGCATAGCGTTGCATAGCGCAGCAGATAACAGCATAGCATAGCATAGCGCAGCATAGCATGGCATATCATACCATAGCAACTAATGCTGCTTTCCTAGGGGGCTCCAACTTTTAGGTAGGGTCGCGCTGGGGTAATACGTACTACTGCTGCCCCGCCTGGTTTCCCTCCTCTCACATCTTTTTTTCCCTTCCACCCTTCAGCAGCAACCGCCGCGTATTGTCCGCTGATGAGGTCGGCGATTGCAGTCTGCGTTATTCGGGAACGCGTTTGCGTCCCTCCCCCAAATAGTGTTTGCATTTATGGGCTGTTGTTTCTTGGAATTGATTTGGATGGGCCAGCCGAGGCGCCCACTCAGGCGCGCGTCTTATTAGAGCGGACGCGTGACAAACGCGAAATAATTCAAAACAACATAGCAACCGAAAACAATGCATATCAACTTACCGCCTGCCCAGGAGCCCTTCAAGATGAGCAATTTCAAGGACGCCATGGCCCGGGGCGGCACTGATCGCGCGGTCAAGGCTGGGGGCAACCTCATGTGTATAAACCCTTTCAAGTCCCCTACGCCTGGAGCGCCCATCAACAACTCGTTTACTCAATCCCTGGAGGATCACTACTTCAAGAACCCAGTGGACAGATGCCCGAAGGTCACTAGGGTGGGCGCGTGGGGCAACCCTCCCAAGCTGAAAGAGAAGGGATGGATGCCGTTCATGTCGCCAGAAGAAATGCGCCACGCGCTCCTGCTCCGCATCGGCGAAGACGTCGACGCTAACGACGAGGAGGCGCTGGCTACGTGGAAGACGTGTCTGCTGAGCGCATCCATGGAGTTTGTCTACGTTGCCAAGGAAGATGACATCTGGCTCAAGTCTGCCAACCAGAGAGAGGAATACGGAGCTGATTTCAATGCAATGTACCGCACTGGGCCCAAGAGGGCCATCGAGATAGCTGCCCTCAAGGCAGCGTACGAGAAATCCAATGGAGGCGTTGCCATCGAGGCCGATAAAGTTCACCAGCTCTACGTCAAGGAAGTGACCTTCGCGACCGTCGTGGTGCCCGGCACGACCCATGAGAAACCTCAGTTCACCGCCGGCTATGTGGACACCGCTCTCACGGTATACTCTCGGATCCTCACGGACCCGGTTGCGCGGGACCTGGTGCTCGCGGCGGACGAGGAGCGGGGGCAGGCCTCGCCGCATAACAGCATCTACCGTTTGGAACTCTTCACCAAGAAGGCCGGTCAGGGGAACGACTCAGCGCTGCACTGGTTGCTCGCTGCCGTCAACGACATGGTGAGGAACAAGACGGTCGACGGCGCCGAACTTTCAGAGCGGGGCCTCTCTGGCAAGACGAAGGGCGGGAATGGCAAAGGGCTCCTGGACTTGCTCCTGTTCAAGATGCACGTGCTGGTTCACCTCCTAGGCTTTCCCGGCTGCCGTTCTGCCCTGGATCGCGTTGCCGCTGCGCCCCCTGGCCCCCGCTCTGCCACCCGGCGTCGGCCCTGCCCTGTCCGTCGTTGTTTGTTGACGTTAACACCTCCCCCAATCGTCGCCATCATCGTCGCCATCATCATCATCGTCATCATCTTCATAATCCAGCGCTCCTGGGGGTTAGTAAGGTGTGCCGGGGTATGACTTGACGTCGTTCATGGGGGTTGTGGCGTGGGGGTCGCGGGGGGCGCAACGGCAGCGCGCGCGCATCTGGGGCGGGCCGAGCGCCTGTGCAGGCGAACATTTGGACGCATCTGGCACGCATTCAGATGGCAAGGTCGCTGTGCGCAACGCGCTCCGTGACCACTCGGCTTACCGAACGCATTTTGGTGGCAAGGTCGCCGGGGGGCAGTCTGCCCAGGACTTGAGTTGGTGCGGGGCCCTCAAGCCCTCAGCCCAGCTCTATGTGAAGTTAGTGGAAGACATCATTTACTCCCAGACCTACGATAACATTCTCAAGCAGGCCCTGAAGGACAGCAAGGGGGTAGAGGAGGCTCTTCAACACCAGACCCTGAAGGGGCAGTTCGACGAGATCGATACCTGCGTGGCCGATGAGGCCACTCCTGCAGCTTCGGCGGCCCCCGCGCCCATTCCAACAGATATTGATGAGGAGCTTCGCTTCGAGATCGTCATTGGGTGCGTGGGTGCTGATGCTATTGGCACCGAGGACGCCGATGAGTCGCGCGCTAAGCTCCACACTGCCCTGTCAGCAGGGGATAAGGACCAGCTTGCGACCATCCGGAAGTTCGAAGAGGAGGCGAAAATCTACGTGTCAAAGTACATCAAGCTGATCGCCCTGCCCAAGACGGAGGAGGAGCTGGCCAACCAGATGAGGGACTGGTGGGTCGAATCGTTGTGACACATAGTAAACCCAGCACCGACCGAGCTGCGCGCTACGTCAATGCGCTTGGGTTGTGGTCGCTGCCCCCCGCCTTTTGATGATGACGCTTCGCGTGTCCCGTATCCCCGTCATCCCATCCCGAAGCGATGCCCAAGCGAAGCGAGGTGTTGTTGTGAGAGGTTCTCTGCGGTCTCCTGGGGCTCTCTTGGGGTCCTCTTGGGGTGCTCTTGGCGGGGCCCTCCTGGGGCCGTCTTGGGGCTTCCTGGTGGTGTGTAGGGGGCCATATTGAGCCATCTTGGGGTTTTTGAGACATCTTGTATCTTGAGGCCCTCTCGGAGCCATATTGTGCCATCTTGGGCGCTTTATCCAACCGCTGCCCACGCGCCCCCATCCACCCTCCCAGGCCCCTCAGGAGAGGATGAGGAGGAGGGGGCAGGAGGGGTTGCGGCAAGAGAGAGGAGGACAACCTTCGTTAAACCACCTACGCCTAGATAACTTGTGATATTCTTCTGATGCGCGCTGGCTCTTCCAGCGAACTACACGTCTGTTGCTTTGTTGATCATATTCCGCCTCCTCCTACCGCCTACCCCCCCCCGCGGGCCCGTCGCAAGACCGACGGCGATGGGGCGGCGAGGTCAACGGCCAACAGCCCAGCAAATGCAAGCAATTAAGGCCCGATCCGGCGGGGGGCGGCGCTAGGAGGGGATCTCCAACGATTGCTGCACGGCGTTTGCAAGAATAGCAAAAAAGCACAGAAGGGGGCTCCCAACAACATCATCATTATCATCATCACCATCATTTTGATCCCCCCAACGCCTATCTTGCGAACCTTCGTCGCCCCCTGGGAATGATGTCCGGGGCCCCCTCCCAGGCAGCGCGAAAACGCATGCCCCGGCAACCTTCCCCCCGGAATGCCCGGAGCAACCTTCCAGTCAACCCTGGCAGATCCCCCCCCATGCATTCTCGCGCCGGGTCGGAGCACGGGCGGCCAGGCAGACATACAGACAGACAGGAGACGGTGCGCCGGACAGAGCAGCAACGGCTTGACATCGCGCCAGCTCTCCCCCTACCCTCCATGAGACGGCGCGCCGGACAGAGCAGCCCCCCCCCTGCCCCCCACGAGACGCAGTAGCTGGCCAGCCTTCGTCGGGCCAGGGGCGGAGCTTTGGGAGGGGGGGGAGCGCCGAGCCAGCAGCCTCCTGTCGGGGCTTTGCGCTCTTGTTTTTCAAACCCCGCCATGGCCTCCAGGGAAGCGAACGAGGAGAATGAGTAGGAGGAGGAGGAGGAGGGCGAGGAGGAGGAGGAGGAGGCGGGAGGGGGGGGGCGGGGGATGAGTAGGGGGATGAGGGAAGGAGTAGTAGTTTGGATGATGATGGATGAGATCTCGTTCATCGTTAGGAAGAACGAAGACATAACCCAGGAATGTACGCTCATGGGCGTCCAGGGGACCACGAAGAACCACGTTTGCGTCTTCTACGACCCGGGGCTCGCTGGGGAGTCCGCGACCCAGCCGGAGCACAGGCTCTGCGCCCTGCGCAACGCACACCTGAAGACATTGATCCGGTCCTTCCTGGTGGCCAGGGGGAGCTCTGAAGCGTTGCGTGAGGGTGGCGTTTTCATCTTCATGGATTGTGGGAAGCACGGGGGCCAGGGGGCCCTGACGGGGTCGTTGAGGAACGCGGAAGGAAAGCGGCTCCCCGCCCATGCATCTTGCCCTTGGGCCTTGAACTTTTTCTACAATGAGAAAGTCGATAAAGCTCTCAACCGTGGATTCATGTGCGAGCGCAGCACTGAATCGGCCCTCTGCGTGGCCACCCACATGCCCACCATGAAGCAGCAGCCCAACCAGCGTTCACCCGGGACGTCCCGCTCTGACTCCATCGGCCCATTCCCCGCCAACGGTGACTCTGTCTTCCGCATGACGTACAAGCAGAAGAAGATGCTCTACGCGAAAGACGCCCGTGTGCTGCCAGGTGGGTTTACATTCGGAAATATTTGGGGCCCGCTCTATCCCTGCCTAGGCTCTGCCTAGAGGGTTCTTGCTACATTAGCTTAAAAGGACCGGGCACTGTTCCTCGCCCCGGGCGGTTCCCCCGGCCCCTGCCCCGCGGTTCCCCCAGCTGCGCCCCCTTGCTTTAGCTATGCGTATCTCATCTTAGCTTAGCTTAGCTTATCTTAGCTTCGCTTAGCTAAGCTAAGCTTAGTTTCTTTTTAGCTTCGCTTAGCTGTAGCTTAGCTTCGCTTAGCTTAGCTTAGCATATCATAACATAACCCAGCATATCATATCATAGTGCAGCATATCATACCATATCATATCATAGCACAGCATAACGCAGCATATCACAGTCTAGCATATCATAGCGCAGCATATCATAGCATAACATAGCCTAGCATATCATAGCGCAGCCTAGCGTGGCATAACATAGCGCAGCATGGCGCAGCAGAACATATCATAGTACAACATTATATCATCGCATAGCGCAGCATAGCATAGCATAGCAGCAACGCAAATGCAACGCAACATCAGCAGCATCAAAGCAACGCACACGCAACGTACCTCAAAACACATTAACAGTACGCCGGCAACACAACCTAACAGCGATGTGTAGGAACATATCTAGAAGCATTCTCCTTGATATTCAGATGATAATCCAGTTGTGGAATTCTGCTATTCTCGCAGGCGCAGTCGCATTCGCGATGACAGTCGCAGCGGCAACGGCACTCGCAGTCACAGCCTCAGCCTCGGCCTGCCTCAGCATCAGCCTGCCTCAGCCGCAGCTCAGCCTGCCTCAGTATCAGCCTCAGCCTGCTTCAGCCTCAGCCTCAGTCTGCCTTCAGCCTCGGCCTCAGCCTCAGCCTGCCTCAGCCTCAGCCTGCATCAGCCTCAGCCTCAGCCTTAGCCTGCCTCAGCATCAGCCTGCCTCAGCCTCGGCGTCGGCCTCAGCCTCGGCCTCAGCCTGCTCCAGCCTCAGCCTCAGTCTGCCTTCAGCCTCTGCCTCAGCCTCAGGCTGCCTCAGTCTCAGACTGCATCAGCCTCAGCCTCAGCCTGCCTCAGCATCAGCCTGTCTCAGCCTCAGACTCCTCAGCCTGCCTCAGCCTCAGCCTCAGCCTGCTTCAGCCTCAGCCTCAGTCTGCCTTCAGCCTCGGCCTCAGCATCAGCCTGCCTCAGCCTCAGTCTGCCTCAGCCCCAGCCTCAGCCTCAGCCTGCCTCAGCATCAGCCTGTCTGCCTCCGCAGCCTCGGCCTCGGCCTCAGCCTCAGCCTGAGTCTGCCATCAGCCTCGGCCTCAGCCTCAGGCTGCCTCAGCCTTAGCCTGCATCAGCCTCAGCCTCAGCCTCAGCCTGCCTCAGCATCAGCCTGTCTCAGCCTCAGCCTCAGCCTGCTCAGCCTGCCTCAGCCTCAACTTCGGCCTGCGTCAGCCTCAGATTCAGCCTGCCTTCAGCCTCGGCCTCAGCCGCAGCCTCGGCCTCAGCCTCAGCCTGCATCACCCTCAGTATCAGCCTCAGCCTGCCTTAGCATCAGCCTGCCTCAGCATCAGCCTCAGCCTGATGCTGCCTCAGCCTCAGCCTCCGCCTGCTTCAGCCTCAGCCTCAGTCTGCCTTCCGCCTCGGCCTCAGCCTCAGCCTGCCTCAGCCTCGGTCTGCCTCAGCCTCAGCCTCAGCCTCAGCCTGCCTCAGCCTCCGCCTGTATCAGCCTCAACCTCAGTCTGCCTCAGCCTCAGCCTCAGCCTGCTTCAGCCTCAGCCTCAGTCTGCCTTCAGCCTCGGCCTCAGCCTCAGCCTGCCTCAGCCTCAGCCTGCGTCAGCCTCAGCCTGAGCCTGCCTAAGCATCAGCCTGCCTCAGCCTCAGCCTCAGCCTGCCTCAGCCTCAGCCTCAGCCTGCTTCAGCCTCAGCCTCAGTCTGCTTTCAGCCTCGGCCTCAGCCTGCCTCTGACTCAGCCTCAGCCTCAGCCTCAGCCTGCCTCAGCATCCGCCTGCCTCAGCCTCAGCCTCGGCCTGCCGCAGCCTCAGCCTCGGCCTGCCTTCAGCCTCAGCCTCAGTCTGCCTTCAGCCTCGGCCGCAACCTCAGCCTGCCTCAGCATCAGCCTGCTTCAGCCTCAGTCTCAGCCTCAGCCTGCCTCAGCCTCAGCCTGCCTTAGCCTCAGCCTCAGCCTGCCTCTGACTCAGCCTCAGCCTGCTTCAGTCTCAGCCTCAATCTGCCTTCAGCCTCGGCCTCAGCCTCAGCCTGCTCAGCCTCAGCCTGCATCAGCGTCAGCCTCAGCCTCAACCTGCCTCAGCATCAGCCTGCCTCAGCCTCAGCCTCAGCCTGCCTCAGCCTCAGCCTCAGCCTGCTTCAGCCTCAGCCTCAGTCTGCCTTCAGCCTCGGCCTCCGCCTCAGTCTGCCTCAGCCTCAGCCTGCATCAGCTTCAGCCTCAGCCCCAGCCTCAGCCTGAGTCTGCCTTCGGCCTCAGTCTGCCTTCAGCCTCGGCCTCAGCCTCAGCCTGCCTCAGCCTCAGCCTGCCTCAGCCTCAGCCTCAGCCTCAGCCTGCCTCAGTCAGCCTCAGCCTCAGCCTGCCTCAGCCTCAGCCTTTGCCTGCTTCAGCCTCAGCTTCAGTCTGCCTTCAGCCTCGGCCTCAGCCTCAGCCTGCCTCAGCCTCGGCCTGCATCAGCTTCAGCCTCAGCCTGCTTCAGCATTCAAAATGTAGCCCGGGAATGGAGTTCTGGGAACTCGAAGAACACGAAGTGGCCTACAGTTGGCTCTGGGCATTCAAAATCATGTCCAGGAGTGGAATTTGGGGAACTCGAAGAGCACGAAGTGGCCTACAGCTGGCTCCGGGCATGCAAAATCATGCCCATGAAAGGAATTCTGGGAACTCGGAGATCACGAAGTGGCTTACAGTTGGCTCCGGGGATTCAAAAACATGCCCAGGAATGGAGTTCTGGGAATTCGAAGACCACGAAGTGGCTTACAGTTGGCTCCGGGCATTCAAAGTCATGCCCAGGAATGGAGTTCTGGGACCTCGAAGACCACGAAGTGTAAT